TTTTTGATTTATTGTAGAGATGAGGTCTCGCTGCCCAGGCGGGTCTCGAACCCGCGGGCTCAGGCAATCCACTCACCTCAGCCTCCCAAAGGCGCGGGATTACAGGCTGAACCACCGAGCCCGGCGTCCTCAAGATCTTAATCACCCCTCCTGGTGATTAGAGAGTTGGTGGATGCGAGAAGCAATCTTCTCTGGGGTAAGAGGGAGAAAAAGGCTTATCGGCCTCACGTCAAGATCTGCCTGAAATGCCACCTGTGGGCCACTCCCACCTGAGCTGACTTCTTCTGGTCCTTGTCAGTTCTGGCCTGTCAGGAGCCTTGGCGGTCTCAACGTGGCTGGCAGGACATTGGGGCTGTGCACGCCCACCATCAGGAGACTTTTTCTGAGTATGTGACACATGGGAAAAGAGATGGGAGCTTGGGGATAGGTCAATGGCATTCCCAGGCTCTGGATGTTCCTGCTGACCCAGCCTGCTGCCTGTCTGTGGGCCAGGCCCACGGTGGGAGGAGCCACGGGGCAGAGCATTGACATCTGGTAGTGGCGTAGGGAGAGCCCGGGGACTGTGCTGCCCTGGCAATCCGGGAAGGGCAGGCCGCGGGGACACCTTGCCCCCACCACGGGCATGGGGGCCACGGCACCCGCAGCACGTTCTGGAAGCCCGAGGGGCACATTTCTTGGCTCAGTGCCTTGTCACGGACAGCACGTCCTCTGCCAATGACCAGCCAGGGTGGGTAGCCACACTCTGTAAGCACCCCCGTGTCTCACATAACCAACCTGCAAAGTGAGAACGGCCGGTTCCACGGGACAGTTGAAAAAACTGAGGTCTTGGGGAAATGGTGTGTGAGCTCACAAAACAAGCAGTCCCAGCAGGACTCGAACCCAGGTTCATCCAATCCCCAATTCAGGTTCTCATCTTCCCATGGCCCCCAGAGCCCCCAGGAGTAGACTGTGGCTGTCACTGCCGGTCCCCCTACGGGTCACACTTAAATCTCACTGCTTGGGTGGTTGTTTGTGGCTTTGTAAAGAATAACCCCAAAGCCCAGTGGGGTGTTCACGGTTTCTATGGGTCAGAGATTCAGAAAAGGCTTAGTGAGTCTGGCTTGCTGTAACGTCCGGGGCCTCGGCTGGGAAGGTGACACGACGGCTGGTGCTGGGATCACTCAAAGGCGAGTCACGCACATGTTTGGTGTTTGGATTGGAGAGACTCGAAAAGCAGGAGTGCTGACTCGAGCACGACACGGGCCTCTCCGGGCGGCGTGGGCCTCCTTGGAGCACGGCGGCCTCGTGGTCGCCAGTCTCGTCACAGGGAGACTTCAGGCTCCTGCACAGACACCCCAGCAAAGAAGGCGGAAGCCCTGCGGCTTGGTGACCACCCTCAGAAGTCACTTAGTGAGACCCCACCCTCCTGGCTTGGGTGAAGCTGCCACAGAAGGCTCCCGGGGCAAGAAAAGATATCGAGCATCAACGGGAAGAGGGCCAGGAACGGGCAGCCTCCTTGTGCACCCACCCCCCCACTCCGCCTGGTCACAGGCCTGGCAGGCAGAGGAGCCGGGATTCGGACCCAGGCCTGAGGGACTCTGTCCCAGCCAAGCACGCGGGGCCAGGAAGTCCAGGGTACTCAGCTGGGGGCGGCACGGGGTGGCAGGTGGTGGCTTTCTTGGCGGAATTGGGAAAGGGTTCTGAGAAAGGGACGGAGGCCGAGTCCCCTCCTGCCGAGAATGACCTTGGGAGTAGACCCTGCTTCCTTGGATACCGCCCACTCCGTCTAGGACGGGATTGGGGCATCTCTCTCCCTGGCCCCCTCCTCACTCCCGTCCCGGGTCTCTGCGTCCCCGTGCGCCCTTTCCTGAGCCCCTGAGCCAAGCCCTGGGCGGGGGCTTATGCACCTCCCCTGTGGATGGTTTGGCTCGCAGCAAGGGACGGTGGGGGAGATTGGGCCGGCAGATCCACCAGCTTCCCGCCTATTCCAGCCCCTCGCTCCTTCTGTGGTGCTCGCCCCCTGCCCACCTGTGGCGACAGAGCCGAGGGAGAGGGTCCTCCAGGTCGCCACGGGTGGTGG